AAAAGATTCTTCAGATAAAAGGAACTTCGTAGGTTTTGGAGCGGATTTTGGAATTGTCTTTTGGGCAATAGAAGTGAGTGTTTCAGTAAAAGTTTTGATAGGGTCGTCGAGGTTAGTAAAATTGTCTATGGTTAGTTTTTCAATGCACATGTGTTGGAATTGGGCCCAATCTGCTTTGCGCATATTCCATCGAGGTAGAGGATCATCAAGAGGAGTCCCAATATTCTTCAGAAAAATTGGGAAGTGGTCACTCCCACAAAGATCATCATTTACCCTCCAGTCATAGTCAAGTAAAATGGATGGATGGCATAAGGATAGATCAATGTGGGTACGAGAGCCTGTAGCAGGGTGTAAATAAGTAGGGGTACAATTTGTATTGTTGTTAAAAAGGCACAAGTTGTTTTTATCTATAAATTCCTCAATACGTCTTCCTCTCTCGTCTGTGTTGGGAGAACCCCACAGGCTATTATGACCATTAAAATCACCAAGGATTATGAATGGTGTTGGGAGCTGGGAGACAAGATTATTGAGTTGCTCACAAGTGNCCGATCCACTCCCCAATCAGTATGAGAAAGGACTCGTATAATGTTTAACGCCTTGGAACACTTATCCTTCAGATACTTTATATGTGGTATGAAAGAGAGTGTGTGCTTTTCTCTCCAGCTGTTTCTTTTGTCAATTTNTAGGAACAAATGTGAGTGAGCGAGATCGCTGCGACCGCATCTATGCCCTAGATGGGCCAACCTTTGTAGGGTTTTCTCCTGAAGAGGAAGGTGTTTTTGATGGTGCTGCTGGTTTTGATGGTGCTGCTGGTTTTGATGAAGATGCTGTTTTTGAGGGTGATGCTGCTTTTGACAGGTTGTTTGGGTTGGTTGATTTGATTGGTTTGGTTGGTTTGGTTGATTCGAATGGTTTGGTTAAAGTCGTGAAACGGGATGGGTCCCCCATGAGGATTTTCAAGTTCTGTTGCCCAGCCATGTCTGGGACTTGTGAGCCCCAGGCAGGTATGTCATCAGAAACTTGAACCGAAGCATCCTTGACCGTGACATTGTCAACCGGCGCCTTGCCTCGAGTCACTTGTGCGTAAGAGGGTGTAGCAATGTCTGCATTCCCGACTATCCTCCTGGCCTCGGGGAAAGAGACACCTCGGGTATATTTAACCCGTAATATCTCCCTCTCCTGGCTCCAGGTAGGGCAGTCGCGAGAAGAGGCAGCGTGCTTCCCCTCACAGTTGACACAGCGCAGGTTGGCGATGTCACAGTCATTTTGTTCGGTGTGACCCTCACGGCCGCAATACTGGCAGATCGCTTTTCGTCTACATAGCTTTTCGTGATGACCGTACTTCTGACAGTTTCGGCATCGCAATGGATTTGGGATGTAGACGGAAACGTTGTACCTCTGGTATCCGATTGTTAGTATTTGGGGTAGTGTTGGCGTTGAAAAAGTGATGATGAAGGTGTTTGTTTTGATTGTATCATTGNCCAATATTACCACAATCTGAAGTCTGTCTCAAGCTGATGTTGAACTTAAGTCTCCATGTTATGTCTATAGGAGATTTGAGTTTGAGCTAAAATCTCTACATTAAGTATGTGAGAAAATATGTTTGAGTTTAAGCTTCTTTGTGAAGTCTACAGGAGAACAAGAACAATTGACCGTTTTTATCTCAAGTTGTCTACCCTTATCTCCCACATGTTGGGGAGGTCTGTCATTATTACTTACAGTTCTATTTATCCTCTGTTTTAATGTTATACATACCAGTATTTGTTTCCTTTTCTGGCTTCCAGGACGGTTCTGTGAAGACGTAAAATGACCAATGGACAGGTCATCACATCTCTTCCTATTAACTTGGCCATTTGTGAAGTTTGCTGGAAGAATGTAATATCAAACTGTATAATTAGGTATATTATTATTTTGCAGTGCATTCTGTCTTAATCGGACACTGCTGGTACCATAAAATTTGGCCAGTTTGTAAAGATTTCTGAATTGTTGAACATTTAAGATAAATTTGAAATGGACAGAATCCAGTGTAAACAGAACCTTCATAAAGTTCTGCACCTATGTCAAAATCACATCTAATTAATAATCAGTATAAAGACATAATTGTATAGTAAACCACTGAAATGTTTTGCTTTCTTTACATAGGTATCAACTTGCAGTGGTCACTTGGTAAATAACACATAAAACGAAACTGACACACATTTCTGTTCCATAACATCTGCAACATCAAAGGTAAAAAAAAAACAGACTGGACAGGGATTCAGTTTTAATAGTGTGTCTGACAAGTCGATGAAGTACCCCCGATTGGAGGCATTGAAATTCAGGTGTCTCACTATCCATTTATAGACCATGTACATCCCTTCAAGTCTAGGACTGTCTGTAAGTCTTCATCTCCTCTCCGACAGAAACACTCTTTTAAATATTACTATTATTTTCATTTTCCCCCCATTACAAATTTAGGCACAGGTTTTCCTCACAATTTCCCTCCTTCATAATTCACGTCTTCAACCGACAGCAAGTGTCGCCAGACAAATTCTTTAAAAATACATAATAAAGTAAGCGATATCAGAAGATATCACTATTATCAAATACACCTGCAAGCTGTATACCAAATCTTAAATTGATATTTGAACATTTGACCCTGTTATGATGAATGGAATTTGTCAGACCTGCGTATTGACCTGTAATTTAGTGTAAAGTTAACAAAGCCTCACCGGACAAAATCTTTAAAGATACTGACAAAAGTAACAACTTACAACATCAGAGTTAAGATATGTAATTTATATGACTATAACACACCTATAAAACAAGTTTCAGATGATGATGAACTGAATTTTTACAATGGGTGACATGGCACACGTGTGTTTGGACTCGATTGATCAAGAACTTTTAGAAGCGTCTTCAAGACTATAAATTTTATGATCAATGTAAAGGTATAAAGATTTGCTGTGTGTCACATAAGTGTATACATATTTAAAGGAACACGGTCTTTTTATTTCTTTTATTTTCATTTTCCTCATCAAAATAAATAATTTTTTGAACTGAATTCATTGTAGAACTCTCAGTCTCACTATTGAAAAGAACTTGTTAACCACTTGTTAATACACCTAATTTTAATGGTTACTGTTGTAATAAAGATACATGCATATTTAAAACCTGTCACATAATTTAAGTCTGGCAAAGCGCTGCACAACACTGAGAAATGATCAGCTTTTGTATAGAACAGTAGAAGATGTAGGTGTAGAGTAGCCCGAGTTTTCTCTGGCCCTGACACCAGACTTTATACATTTTGACAGATAGATGTCTGGTGTCAAAATGTCCAAAGTCTGCTGTCAGGGCCAGAGGAAACTCACCATCAAATAATGTATACATGTTCATGTGGCTATACAAATATAAATATTGTATTAGGAATATTATAGTCGTTTGCCGGGGACCAGGAAGCTCAAGTGGTAGAGCGTCTGTCTACATTTCGAGGGGTTCCAGGGTTCGTATGATGTATCCCGATCTTCGTGCAATATTTTCCTCTCCTGTTTCAATATATTTTATCAAAATTGTCAGATTTCAGAATAAATCTGTCAAGAATCCGGACTTTACATTACTCACAAAAGTAACATTACCTATCAAAATCGATTTCCTTTTGCTTGGAACCTCTAATGTCACATCCGTCATAGTCACTCAATAAAAGGTAACTTTTCTGTCAGAAATACGCCTTGGAACACGTGCGTGAACTCCCGGAAGTTATTGTATAGTTAATAATTCTAAAGTAGGGGATGGTTTATTTATCCGGAAATGAAAGTCATAAAGGATGCATGCATCTATGATTGTTTATTTCCTGCAACATTTTTTCAGGTTTCTTGATTTTTTTAACAAAGATTTCAGTGCAAAAAAGTTCCCTTAGTATTTTTTCACACTTCCCAGCGGTACAGTTAGGTAACACTGTTTAGCAATAAAACCCGGAATTGTGCACATGCGTCCGAATTTAATTTTAATAAATACCTCACATCGTTCGGAAAGGATTCTAGATCTTATGAAACTCTAGAAAACATCGAAGGTAAAGGAAAATGGCAACGGTAAGACAATTTTGGGAGAAATTTTAACGATTTACAGGAATCACCTTATGCATGTGCTTATTTATGCTATAGAAACAGTAGATTAAGTGAAACATGAACAATTTTAAACCATTCTTGAAATTCTAAAACGGTGAAACTTGTTCAGTAGTTCATTATTCGTTTCTGATAACCGGTTAGTGTTGATAAAAGCACATGAGCCTGAAGGGGCTGAAGTTTACAAAAAAACACCTATTTTTTAAGCACATTATAGTTTTTTTTTGTATTACTGTTATTATTCATTATTGACAGAACCTCAGGCTCCTGTGATATAAGGTTGAACAATGTTGAATATTGGCAGTAAGCCTATGTGTAGGTGATCATGACCATTCCAGTATCAGTCCGTCAGTCATAGTCTTTTTTTATAGTCATTCCATCATGATCGAATTATTTTGTATTTGTTTACTCTACCGTTTCGTCTTGTGATTCTATTCTTTACTAAACCGTTTCGTCTCGTGATGTTTCATCAAGGTCTAATTTAGCTCTCAACGGTTTACCATTTACATTTGTATATGGTCTAGGTCCGAAAATATTTGACTGGATTTCTTTCTTGCATTTGTTCATTGCTACATTATCTAAATGCACTGCAAAGGAAGTTATCTTCTAGTCATTGCTGTCACAAAGTAAAAATGTGATATCTGGATAGGTTACTGAAAATTGATTATCCAATACAGACTGATGCATGTCAATTTTGTTTTCTTAAAGGATTTCCAGACAAAAGTTGAACAAGCAAGCGAAGCAGGGGAAGTTTTCTCAAAGTTGTTTTATGAAAGCTTTGATAAGAAGCGACATGTAAGTATGATACATACACACCTTAATATTAATTAGTTGATGGATGTTTTGATTTGGACCGAGTCAACACAGGTATTTTTATCAAGGGCTGTACCACATGTCTCAAGTTACCTCTCGATGTGTGACTTTTTAAGGTAGACATCTAGTGTGGTTGGACGGAATGAGCCAGAGAAAACTTCAGCTACATTCTTCAATGCCTGGTTAAAATTCTCATAATTTACGAAAAACACACGTTGACTCATATGCACAGAATCTTGCAATATTTCATGAAAGTAAATGCGGTGATAAATTTCAACCCTGATTCTCAAGTTATTCTTTATGAAATTTTGCCAGACTGTATGACTATTTTAAATATATTATTTATTCTCTCTGGAAAAGCCCCCCTCCCACTTTTCTCCTGCTGTGAATCAGCTAATTTTCCAGCAATTCTTTTGACTGCAAGTACTTATAAATCACATTTAGATTAAACATTGTAGCAACATTTCAAAATCATGATTGCATATTTGTTTGGCAATATGGTAACTTTGTCCAAGCAACATATCAAAATAGATTTACCATTGTCTTGATATCATTTATCTTTGTGTGGGGCCATGATTTGAAGGGAACAGAGTCTTCAGAAACGTAACAGGTGTCTGACATTGATGATAATTGTACAATGCAGAATGTGTCTAAAAAGGCAACCTTGTCAAATGGTCTAAACAGGAGATCTACTTGTTAAAATTACAAACATTCCACAAACAAGCCACAAAGTCAATGGTAGTAATTTGAGCATGGGGCTTCTATTTAGACAGTAATCTGAAGTACATATATATACATAAAAGTTTCTTCAAAATGATTGAAAACGTCTAATTGCAAAATCCTAATTATATCATGAAAGTGTAATTTCATAGGTTAAATTCATTTGTGTATATTCTAAGACGGTCTCCTCCTTTTGACAGGGTTTCCATGGAGACGTTTAACTGTTGCTATGGTGCTTGACAACTGTAAACTGAGTCAACACAATGTTATGTGCAGTACATCTGATGGTGTGAGATGAACCTTAACTTTCAAATGCAGTTAGAAGGAAAAACTGTAAAACTTTCTTAATTGGTAATTTCTGTGAAAAGCTATCTTTTACTGAAATTTGAATTTTTAAAAAAATGGCAGAAAACAGACATGTTCCCGTGGAAGATGGAGAGATTTCTAGTAAGTGTCCTTACACTGGCATTGGCCTGGAGGACACAAACGACTCTGGCAGCTTTGATATAAAAAACCACATCCTCCAAATGACTATGACAATGAATGTGAAGTCTCCAGACACGCGAGAGTACTACCAGGCTGTCCTGGAGAAAGACATTGATGTGATTGAGTCTTTGTTAGAGCAGAAAAAGGTGGATGTGAATCACATCTTCATAGGGACAGGGATGTCTATCCAGCCCTGGCACCTAGGCTGTCGAGCCATACACATCCTGTCTGAGCAACACAAGGAGGAAAAGTCCAAGAGTATTGCAATTCTGCAGCTTCTGTTGAAGTACAGAGCAGATGTGATGCAGAGAAACAAGCTTGGAGATCTGGCCATACATTTGGCTTGTAAGTCTGGTAACTACCATGCTGTCAGACTTTTCCTGGAATACAATTCGGATTGTAAAGACATCAAGAACAACCATGGCATAACTCCCCTGATCAAGGTTCTGTTCCATTTCCGCCACCAGTACAAGAAAAGTTATGTAAAGGTAGTCAACCTGCTGGTCAATGCTGGCTGTGATGTCAATCTGAGTCCCGACTCAGGAATCAGTCCACTGCATGTTTCAGTGATAAAGGATAAAGATCTTACAGAGATTCTTGTGAAAGCTGGAGCCAATGTGAATGCCATATGTAAAGAAGGCAACAGCCCTTTACTGCGTGTCATGTGTCAGAATCAGATACGCCATGACACTGTTGAGACATTATTGAAGGCTGGAGCTGACACTAAGGTTTCCACATCACCTGGGCGCACTCCACTTCACATTGCTGTATCAAAAAGTGACGACCTGAGTGTACAGCACCTGTTAAAGTATGGAGCTGACCCCAACGCAATGGACATGTACCACACCACCCCACTATGGCTCGCTGTCACTGAACACAACATGAAAATTCTCCCCATGCTGGTTGCAAATGGTGGTGACATGAACCTGCGTACAGAATCCAAACTGTCGCTTCTCACTGTGGCAGTCTCCAATAGTGACACAGAAATGACCCGTTTACTGCTGAAGCTAGGTGCTAAGGTGACCCTTGACCTCATCCTCCGCGAGAATCCACTGTTCCACGCAGTCAAAAATTGTTCACTGCCATTGGTCAAGATTTTACTTCAGGAGAACTGCCCAATGGACTACCCACCATACTGCAGCCCTTTGGTGACTGCCCAGATGGTCAAGGATCTAGACACCCTAAGTGTCATGGTGAAAGCTGGAGCAAAGTTTAACTTTCACAACCTTCTCAGCATTGGTAAGGCATTGGATGAGGCTAAGTTTGGGGAACTGTTCACCAGCCATGTACAGAATGTGCCGTCATTACGCCATGTGTCGTGTGTAAGGATCCGTAAAATACTAGGACTCGATATAAAATACAAAGTGCAAGAACTAGTGAGAGAAAATCATTTACCTCAAAGCCTAGTACCTCACTTACTGTTGAGTACCACTCTCCAACTCTAAGTCACTTGTTACCATTCTTATTGAAATTTTATAGTTACTCATACATAACATATATAAACTTGTTTATGAAGCTCAATTATAAATGTATTTCAAAACATGTAAGGAATCAATTCTTAATCAAATATATATACTGTCACATTTATTCTTCATTATAACAGGAAAAGGGTATGATTTTACATTTGTACAAGTAGTAAGCTTTTTCGCTTACATTAGTCATTTTAAGTTTATAATGTCATTTGCATTGCATTTAGTGACTGTTGTGAGTATTGAAATGTTTTGTCTGTAGGCTGGAAGGAGGGGAATATTTAACTACCTTGTATTCTGTGAAAATATATAGTCATTTATAATTACAGAATATAAAGCTAACATTCAGTTTATTTTAAATTCACTTGTCTTTTCAATAGCTGTGAGAACTAATTGATTGTTATTATATTATGAATTTTAATTGATTTTGTCGTTTTGATTTTATGTCAAACCAAACAGATGATGGTGAAAATATCAGAGGTCTCTTTTACCTACACAGAGTTCATGTATGAACGTATTAAATCGTTTTTTAAAAACAGTATAAATTATGAATTATGAACTAGATATTTCGCCTTCAGTACATCAGTTTTATTGATACTTATGAAATGTTAAATAAATTAGATTTATATACATTGTACCGGTTATTTTTAGTTACAGTAGATTATTAAAACCTTTTACCAATATTTGTTGAGTTATAGACTATTACAATGTATGACTTTAGCAGCAGTTATTACATCAACTATGATAAAATGTATAAATACAATCAGTCACCGTATGGAGGTGACATTGTACTGTACTTGCCAAGTCACCTGTATTTGCCCAGGTCAGCCAGCAAATGACCACTATGACCCGCACAGATTGTAGCACACTTAACTCTTATGAATTAATGTACTGCTTACAATGTATCTGAAATTTTAAAGTGTTTCAGAAACACCTTTTGGAAGCTAAGATACACTCAGAAAAGACATACTAGTATACTTAATTTATTGAAATGCAATTTAAAGTAGTTTTAATGCCATTATATCGTATTTTGATGACTTTGAAAAATTTGCATTCTAATATGACAAGCAATTTTCAGGCTTGTCGTGCATTTTGACCATCTATGCCTCATTTCATTGTTGAGAACTTGGCAGTACGTGTACACATAACTGCCTATTGTCTTGCCAGGGATATATCAGCTTCAGATTTTGTCAAGATGTATTTTACACATCTCATGGTTTATGTTTATCAGTAGTAGTGTTGTTCACGAACTTGTTGTTCATACAATAGATTTTTTAAGATTTTTGAGGAATTATATGTAATTAACGTAAGACAGTACATGAAAGTGCATCCTTGGTCGTCCAGGGGTTGCGCTCACTATAACTAGTACGCTAAGTGAGCATAACCCCTGGCCATGGAGTATTGATGATGAAAGTGTGACTGAGTGGATTAATCTGACGAAAGGTTGTAATGGTGCTTCTCAAGCTTGTGATATTTTAGATATGTAAGAAGAAGCTGGTACTGACGTCTTGGATCGCCTCCCATTTCCTTGACATGTGAAAGTAATATCCAAATGTCAACAGTGTTATATTTTATTACACAATGCATGCACATTCTGTTGTAATATGTGTCATGTTCGTTATCAATATCAGGATACAACTGATACAGAAGACTTAGCCTGTTGCTCAATCCTATTCATATATACCATCATGAATAAAATTAGTTGAATTGAAATTCTTAAATCCATTTTTGGGGAACTTCTGTGTCTTGGAAAAGCATCCATTTCCAATATGTAACAAACTGAATAATAATTTTATATGCAACAGCCAATATGGTCTTTTGTAAAGACATGACATTACAGGTTTAGTAATACATTTTACCAACACAGCTATGAGCTTCCACTGTGTTAAGTACATGTGCTAATGTGGCTGTTAATAGCTTTGAATTAAGGGAGGAGGGGGGAGATATATATATGCATTAGTACAGGGTTGAAATGAAAATTTGAAACTTGTTATTGCACTCATATTGGTCTGTTTTTGGAGACTGATTTGTTCCGTAATTGCATGATAAAAATGTTCACATTCCTGTAGAATTAGTGGCTTGTGAATTCAAGACATCATGAATTTGATCATACCTTTGTATATGTGATGCTCCTATGAATATAGCACTGTTACAATTTAGATAGTCTTGGTCAGATGTGCACGTCATCATAATGTAAGTTTCCAAATGAAAATATAAAACCTGTTCATTCAGTAATTTTTAATTTAAAATTGTATAATTACCAAAGAAGGGAGTCCCTAAATGAAAACCACTGCCCAGTGTGGTAAAAAGTATCTCTCTGGGCCTCTTTTAATACAATCATTCGATCAGTCCATTTCCGAATCCAAGGGTTCTGCTCTAATTATCATAGATTATTTAAGATATCAACTCTAAATTTTCTTGTGACAATCAAAATCCCTGCAAGTGCCACCTTGTAGATGATATAAGTTGACTAGGCTGGAAGCTGTTGCAGAATCCTGTGATCTAGGAGTAAAGTAAAAGTGAATATTTGGCAACACAGTGGTAGAATTGAATGACTTTGATCTCAGAGAAGTAGTTCTTATATAATCTTCAAAGTACCAATGTCTATTAAACTTGCAATGGATTAGTTTATGATGTCTGCAACCAAACAAATCCCTAACCATGAGCCTTTCATTTTGTAATGCTGTCAATGAACTGTTTTTAGAGGGCAATCACTGGCTATATATATATATGATTGTGAGAAAATTGTATTAAGAGGTCATTCTTTTATCAGTTGGCATAATATTGCCTGTACTTGTCATATGAAAGCAGTTCATTACAGTATGGGTATGCTATTTGGTGGATTTTGTAATTTGTTATATGGTTATGCCTATTTTGCAATATATCTGTGATATTATTGATTTGTTTTTAGACTGTGCAAATTGAAAGTAGCCTTTTAGACATTAAATGACCCAAATTTATGAAATTCAACATGTCAGCTATGCCAGCCATTTCACATGTGCAATGAATTAGCTTTCTATCCACAATTTTAATTTCAAAGTTCTATCTGAGTTTATCAGGAAAGGTCAATGATCTATAGTAACCAGGTATTAGTTTTGTTGTCTAAATTACCACATTCCAAGATGGCTGACATAGGATCCAAATTTATAAACATTAGTTTTTCCTCAGGATCTGTTTGTGTTTAGCGAATACTTTGTAGAAATAGACTGGAATCATAGCCAACCAAATGTTGTTACATTATTTTTACAGGTTAATACATGCACCAAGTTTAATATTGAGGCCATCGTAAAAGAAGTTACACAAAAAATTTTCTGTCGACAATTAACATTTCAAACTTCCCAAATTGTACTACTGGGTACCTACAGTACACGTAGGTAGTCGGATCTTCTTTTTTTTGTGTTTTATCCATTTATATGCTCAATTACCTCTTCGGAGGAGCTGATAGAGCTTAACAAATTTATTAATGAAGCATCCATGGGACTGAGGAATCAAATGTATAAAAGAGCGTGATGGGCTGGGCCTACTCAAGAGAAGTTTCAGGATCACTGTTCCACTACAAAAACGGTTGCTCAGTATTGGAAACTGTTTATATTAGAGCATGACTAAATCTTTGATAAATCATTTCTGAAAAGAAAACCATACTTTGCCTAATATAATCAACAAGTGTTCTGAGAGTAGATATCCAGCGGGTCTAGACCGGGATTTGAACGCTGAACTCCAGACCATTGCTCTAACCTATTGAGATACCTGGTCAACAGAACTGTCCTGGCCCAACTGTACATGTGCTACAGTTATATCTAAATAGAAATGAGGTAACTGTTTATAGAGACAACCACAGTACAGTGGAACAGGGATCCTTGAGGTTGGCAATGTGTTTCAAAATCTGAATGCAGACTTTTAGTTGTTTTTTCGGTCTAATTAAAAATGGCACCAGTCAGGTGACCTTTAACGCCAATAGGCCTCTTTACTTGTTATGCTATGTAAATGTCTTATTTACCTGGAGGTTGTGAAGTGTTGTTATTTAGTAATTAGTGCAAATGTATTGTTTATGATTCATGAGTGATTTACTTGAATTGTCAGCTCTAGGGCAAATAATTTTACATGTACGTAGAATGTTTTACTTTGAACTCTCCTGTATTATAAGTAAACAACATTGCTACACCTTTGAAATTGTTGTTGTGCTTAATTTTATGTAACTTGCTCAAAGTTACGGATGACAAAATTTTGTATACATTCACCACGAGGGCCATTATCTTACCTTTGCCTTTATGACCAGGGTGTCAACAATTTTGGTTATCTACTATAAGTAACTATATATATAATTCATATAGATAATGTACATTCATACATTCATAGATGGACAATCTTTGACTTCACACAAAGGTGTACCGTTACTATACATCTGATGATCTAATGCATTTAAAGCGTTAGTAAAAAATGTAATGCCCTCTTTTAAAATGTAATGCCCTCTTTTATCATTTTTATATGATTTACTTGCATTTAATCAAGTATGACATAGTAGAAATATCGGTAATACTGCACTGCTGAAAATAGCATCAACTCTGGCCTACATGATTGCTTTGTTCTATGTTGGCTGTGTTTTGTCAGTAAAGCATTAATTACACAAGTGAATTCAAACAAATTTGTGATCATGATTTCAAGTGTTATCAACTATTGGTTAAAAAAACTAACAATCTTTCAATAAAATTATTTTCAAAAACTTTCCATATGTTTTGTTTATTACTATTTTAACTAGCGTAATATATACTTTACCAAAGGTGGGGGTCGGGTATGTCTATGCCAGGCTCGGCTCACTTCATTTTTATTTCTTAAGCAACTTTTAAACTCAGAGACCAGAAGTCATGTGAAGGGCTGTTCACTGAAATACCTTGACCTACTTTCGAGGTCAAATGGATTAAGGTCATAGGAGTATATTGAAAAACGGAAATAGGAAATGCATCCCTAGTTGAAAATCCAATGTAGGGAGACAGTATCACAATTTCCGCATATTCTGATGTTTAATATTAAACTGATATAACTATTGCATGTTTATTATTGACAGAACAGTGTGTTATCTCAACATTAAAGTATTTCAAAGCAATCCAGGCATTAATATAGTTGTTTTTTATCAATGAGTCACATGTGTCCATTTTTCTGTACTTCAAGAACCGGCTACCTATTTCACTACTGTGAAGTTTTTCAAGAAAGATAACTCTTTACATGCAATTACTATATGTACATGGTTTTATTATAAAATGTCAATTTTTAAACGTTTATAGATAATTATTTTTACACAATTTCAGCATTTATTAAATTGATATACATTAATGCAATACTAATCTATGTCAGTATCATTTTTATTGACATTATTTTGCCTAAAACTGTGTCTTTCATTTTTTTTTTTTACAAAACTCACTCCTTTTTACATAAATTTTCATTTCAAATCCTTTAAATTCTGACAAACTATTTTTTTTTTGTGGCAGAAAATTTTCTTTACTTCAACGCAATATAACTACAAAATTGGAAGAAATTCTACTGAGAAATGGTGACACAATCCTACTACCTTTAATGAACTGTGATGCCGACAATAATAATACAGGTTGCAAGTATGTAGCTCTCTGGAATAAACTACATACCTTCAAGGTCACTGGGCTCAAAACTGGAATCATTATGTGATAACCCAACTACAGCTTACAGTACAGGTTTTCTTTGAACTTTATAAATTTGCAGCTAACTTGACAGAAGACTAAGTAGTCAAAATCTGTTTAATCTTTAGTTCAACTTAGTATTGTTATATTTCAGATGGATATTAAAAATGTAAATTTTTATCTACAAGGTTGTAGCAGTGATGCTATGACCTTAAATCCTGAACTTTATAGCTGATATTCAATTCATGATTGTGCTACTTAAATTCAATGTCTGTCTATATGACCTTGAATCTCCGAACTGGCAGCTGAAGTTCTGTTTGATCTTTAATCCATGACTATAAAATGATACTGTTTGACCCTACAGTTGATACAGAAGCTGTACCTGGACAGCGCCACACTGGTGTGGAATGGCACAGCTATCAATGGCCTCGACAAGATCCTCAAGTTCTTCGAGACACTGCCAACTTCAGAACACTCACTGGACTCATTAGACTGTCAGCCTCTCATAGGTAAATCTCACTTCCAGATATAATAGATTAACTGATATTAGAGTTCAGAAGCAAGTTTGGTAATAAAGCTTGAACACAGGTTTGGCATTTATAACACTTTAAAATCCTGGCATTTCTCTTCATTTGTTAGAAGTTATTTGCAGATCTGGTTTACTAGGTCTTTATCGTGCCCGTTTTCCTGGTGTGTCATCATGTTTTGATATCTGTCTTACCATATTGTCATTACAGATCAGGTTTCTGGAGGTCAGATGACGATTGCAATCAAGACCTTTGGGACGGTGAAATACCAGGGGAGCAAAACTAGAGCATTCCACCAAAATTTCATGTTAACCTCTCTGAATAATGTATGGAAAATAGTCAGTGACAGTTTTAGATTCCAGGAGTGACTGGTGCAAACAGCATCCAACTACAAATCCAGGGCTGAGTTTGATCTCAACATACTACAGTCTAATAGCAACAGAATGTGTACGGCATTGTCTGTGACAGTTTTAGATTGTAGGACTGAACCTCAACACTTTTTTGTGGAGATGCATTACTCAGTCATGGACATTACAAGGTTACCTTAAAGTGTTAACATGGCAGGTTGTTATGGAAACATAGCAGGTACTGATGGTGACATGACAGGTTGTTATGGTGACCCGGCAGATTGTTATGGTAACATGGCAGGTAGTAATGGTAACATGGCAGGTTGTTATGGTAACATGGCAGGTTGTTATGGTGACCTGGCAGCTGGTAGTTATGGTAACATGACAGGTTGTTGTGTATTGTATTTACCCTGCAACAAGCCTAAGGAGCTAACACATCTCTGACTAAAAGTGAGCTGGGTCAGTACAGGACAATGGATTATTATTTGTTGGCATTTTTATCAAATCACAATATCTATGAGTGGGGTTTTAACAGGCAGGTACCTATTGCTGGATAAATTGTCAGAAACTTCAAAACAATTCTGGTTTAATTACAAGGTGTTTGTACATGCCATGTTATCAGATGCTGAAGTGCTGTAGTAAAACCACAATTCAGAATTATTTGTGTTCAAATATTGTAAGGAAAGTAAAGAATTAAACTCTCTGGTCCTATTGTGAGCCAGGAGGGTTATCTTTTTGCCATAAAGGTGGCTTCCAGTTGATGTTTAGCACTACCCACAGGCCTAGGAAGCACCATGATTTTCTTGTTACTGTGAACAAAAAGATTCAAGATTTCTATTATGAGGCAATATCATTGTATTTTGATATACATGTACTCTAAAGGCTTATACTGGTGGGTTTTAACATTGCCCGAACCAAACAATTTCTTACATTTTAATTCATCTTCAAAGTAAAAAGATATTCATGGAGTCACCCTGTTATTGGTAGGTTACAGTTTTGGCACAAGTGTTTACAGTCATTAACGTAAACCTCTGTATTGTACTAGGATGCTGATATTGTGAGATTCTTAATGGTGCAAACATTAAAGCAGCTTAGTCAAACACCGAAAAGTTGTTTCAATTTTGTAAGATTTACTCGTCTTGGACTTTATGCTAAAATCTCTATGTTATGATATGCCATTCTGATAACTGTAATAATGTAACATGTTTCAGTTTGAATATCTTAAGGCAACATGATTTTGATTGTAAAACCACCCTGTGTATTATATCACTGCCTCTTGTTGTCCTTCATTGTTGTAAAATGAATGATTGTCACAATGGATGGACCTTTCTACATTCATAAATGTCTATATTTTGTAATAAAACTTTGAAATGGGTTACCAGAGTCATTTTCTGTCTGTTGATATGACACCAGTACCGCGACACTTAATACTGTACCTGTATCCTACAGAGACTTTTAAGGGGACCTAATAAATACATTGTACATACGTTCAGTAAAACAGTTATAATTTAGTCTTGTTCAACCAGACACTTAGCTTTCACTAACAACAAGAGTCTGATTGAACAACACAAAGTTATGATATTAAGTACAATAAAACAAGTTATAATGATCCCTAGGGTACCCAATGTGTCGGATAAATCAAATATGATGCATTTTTACATTTGTTAAAAAGCTTAACACATACACCAAAAATTGCAGAGGTTTTATGATATATACTAGTCTTTGTATCCTGTTAAGCATTTTTTTCCATATCAAAGAAAATCTTGAAAATGACAGATGACGTGCTATGGCCGACACAAGCTCACTTCGATGCACCACTGCATACGAGTAAGCTCACTTTTTGCCAAGTGATGTTAAAAAACAAACAAGTCTCATATGGTTTGGAGGATTTAATGAAATTAAGATAAGTACAAGTACCAATGACCTGCAGGTCAATACTGCAGTAAAGTTGTCTCACTACATGGCCATAGTAGCAACTGTATACATTTGTATATCATTTAAGTCGCCCCATTACATGGCATGGGTATAGCAGTACTTTCAAACACTAGTAAATTTGTATTGCTGTGTAGAAAAACTTCTATATACACTAGTAAAGTCATATTACTATGTAGCAGAACTTCTATACACTAGTAAAGTCATATTACTGTGTAGCAGAACACTAGAAAATCGTCCTACCACACAGTTCTTTACACCCTGGATAGTTCGTCCAATAGAATGGCCATGTAGTTTCTATGTACCAGTAAGATCACATTACATGGAAAGGTCATAGTAGCAGTTCTAATCACCTTAATAACTACAGGTAAATCATAGGAATACACTAGGAATCGTTGTATACAACATACAAATTAAATGTATCTGTTTTACAAAATACCAGTCCGATATATATGTGACACAGAAATAAGAAGGAATCACAATCAAGTAGAACCACAATGTCCCCAAATTTTGTTTTCTTTCCTCTAACAATTTTTAACTTACACAACTTACATGAATAAAGTGTTTCACTCATTCACTGTTTTAATATAAAGAATGAATTTGAAAATAAATTGAAAGAACACCCAGTTTCCTCTATAACAAAATTTGGGGTTGATTGTAAATGATTACAATGAGACAGTATAACCATGCACCGGATACCACTACAAACCTGGTTACTGATAGTTAGATTTACATGTAATACATATAACACTTCACATACAACTTAATCATGTTTCACCGGTAGGTCATAGTGTGTCTGTAGAAGCACCTGTTATAATGGGAAACATTTTTATCAATAAGATTTGTTTTTTGTAGACAAAATTGCATCTTTTTACCACAAGGAACAATGTTTTGCTCCAATGACGAGCATACAAACCACAGGAGATGATTGTAGATATAACATCTTTAATACTTGAATAGCTTAATAGAAATTGATCTTGCAGCTTTCGAATGTTGAACATAAGTATTTAGCACATTTGTGTCTCTGTAAATAGGATTACTGTTGAATCAAAGGATGGTTTGGAGAAAAGGAATAGTGTTCATGGTTCAGACAGAATGGAGACAAAATTGTGACAATGATGCAATTAGTCACCAGCACCTCCATACTAGAAATCGCAATGCCTGTACATATATTTACAAAATGGATCGCAGATTTAATGCTATATGCATAATAATAATAACCTGTCTTTACTGATTGTATCATCACATGATTACTCTGTTATTTAGTTAATACATTACACTTGTGTCATATGTAATTATTGTTTTGCAAATGCCAATGGACAGTGTCATATTACCTACGGTATGCTGATATCATAAATTGATAATGAAGCGACGCTACAGATAGTATCACAATGGAAACAACTGATACAGAATCAAGATGACTAAATATAAGATTTCTATGATGTGCTGGAAAAGCATGTTTTTCACAATATTTTTAAAAATTCCTGATCATCTTGTAAAAAGAATCTCCAACTTTGCTTCCATTTCATATGTGATTAACTTGTCAACAACTGGTAAAATGAAAAATTCTTAAAGACTTATTTCATAAATCTCATATGAAATAGAAACTCAAGATCGTACATGTAAAAGGTGTAATTTCTGCCATGGTGATGTAATATAGAAGAATACAATGATGCAAGTTAGTGGCAAAATGGTCATTTTCATTCCTCGTTACAATTGTATATTTGACAACATTTTCAGCCATTTGGTGACATGTGATTCAAATAATCTCAGATTTATTTCTATTTCCAAAATACATTTCAAGATTCTTTAAATATGACTAAAATATGTGTCCATTTCAAAAAGATTTAGTAAAAGTATGCCTATAGTTGAAATAATTCTTAATGCAATCTTATGAATCAGTTTCAAAAGTCTCATTTAATTCAGGATTACTTTACCACCAGTAACCGTTTATGAATACTCTGAAAATAAAGCCTTATTATGGACATCATCATCTTTGAGTTGCCATCTTGAAGCCTACTTGGGCCTATGTATTTTTATATCAATCATTCTTGTTAGTAATTCACATTTTAAACAGAGAGCCCTACCAATGAAGTGTGCACTAGTTTACATTACACCCATCATATAATCAATGTAGGACAAAGTTACAATCAATTAACTGTAACTCACTTTAATACTAACTTTCACTCATGTGTCTATCAAATATAATTCCTGTATTGCCATTACAACATGTTTGATAGAAATAAACCATCACATCAAATCATGAACTGTAAAATTCTGTAACAATACAAATTATAATACAAAGCTGTAACCTGGAAAATATGTGTTGACAATGACAAAGGAATAGTGTAGCTCATCCTCATTGTTCCAGAGAGTTTAAATTACGTTCATTTAAACTCTCTGCAACTCCCCCCCCNTGAGGAAAAGACAAGAAGACTAGTTTGATCCTTTGATGTCCATCAAAAGAATCTCGTGGTAGCCTAACAACATATTTATACATTTTTCTCTTCAGGCAGAGGTTACAGTTTATCTATTGATGTTTTTTTACAGAAACATAATGTCAGAAGAAAGTAAAAGAAGAAACAGACAGGAATATGAAAGAAAAGCATAGAACAGAAAATGAATAGGATTTCTATGGTTATATGTATTATACTTAAACAATATGTTGGATAGATTCATTTTCAATTAAACAAATCCTCTACATAGGACATCAATAAGATGATTAAGATCGATGTTACTTGATATGTAAATAATACTGGATGCGGAACAGACATGACGTGAATACGGGAGTAGATTAACTGGTACACAACTGTTGTAACACTCCGACATCTAGATCCGTAGATTAGATTTTAGTATGCTGTACAACTGTTTAACGTCAACTTGTGACAAGCGGTTCTATCCATTTCCTGGTGATACTCATTGTGGCAAACCAAAACAGGATATCATGCGTAGCATCAAGTTTAGTGCTATACAAATATCACAATGTAATGTCTGAAGGAATATTTGATTGGTTCGAGTGGGTCATCAATGTCCCCACTACCCTGTAACAGTTTCTAGGGACCAAATGCTGCCGCGGTTATATCTCAGTCCTCTGCCGCGGTTATATCTCAGTCCTCTGCCGCAGTTATATCTCAGTCCTCTGCCGCGGTTATACCTCAGTCCTCTGCTGCGGTTATATCTCAGTCCTCTGCCGCGGTTATACCTCAGTCCTCTGTCCCAGCATTGTGTGCATGGACTTCTGGATACACAATTTCCCGTGGAGAGGTCATCATTATGTCCCTCTCTGAAAGGTCAGAGTCAACGGCAAGTGTCTGGCCCTGAAACATATTAACAAAATTGTTTTGACAAGTAATTGAAAACTATGTAATTAATATAAAAAATATAATGAAACTTTATCCAACTAAAATACTCCATTTGTCACCTCACAATCAGCATATACAAAACATAAACTCCATCTTCACCAATTTTTTTTCTAGATGTATTGTGACCCTGGAAACATGAGGTTTACAGTAAGGGTTCACTTGTGTTGTAATGCATAGGGAAATTATGCCATAAAAAAATGAGTAATATCAATTTTTATTTCTAATTTTCCATTTGAAAAGAATCCTACAACTTAAGATTTCCAAAGTTTAGAAAAACATATTCACTATTCATTAATAAATACCCTTCACTTTTTCTATTTATATAAAAGTGGATATTTTTGTCGTGTGGTTCTATAAATAGAATGTGAAATACCATCAGGGTCATGTAGCCCCTTGACCAGGAGTAATTACTGTACCCTAAAAGGGATGCTTTTGTATTATGGCTAATATCTGGGGATAAACTATCAACATAAGCAGAAAATTATGCATAGTTGAAAATATTAGAGTCAAAGGAGGTTCTGAATGAATTTTCCTTCTCCAACCTGGCATTAATTTTGAAATAAAATATACTTCTGAAAATCATATCAAAATAAATACCATCACACAGAACGTTATTTGAGAAGGTGTTTTTTTGTAATTATTTTTGCATTCAAAATGTTCGTGTAACCATTATCAGCAGCCAATAAAGCTAATATATAGTTCAATTGGTAAAAAGTATCACCAAGTGAAAATTGCATACAAAAAATAATTCTTTGCATTTCTGCAAATGTTCCATTTTGGGTCCACTGACAGTAGACTTTGGAACGACAACACCCATCTGTGTCGGCACTGGTGCCGATGGAACTAAACTTACACTGCAGAAACAGAAAGATACCTACACACTTCCATGAAAGAAGTTTTTGGGTTTTTTTAATTCTAGAATTAGTAACAACACTTTCACCTACCTGTTTAAAAAATCGCTCAAACTCCTCAAGGACAGTCTCTGAGCTGAACTGAGCACGGAACTCTCTTCGCACTGGATCGTCCGTAGAGAAATCAATGGGCGACCAATCACAGTTCTTACTTTTCTTGTTGCTAATGACAAGAGAATTTATGGTGGTTCAGAGTTGTGTGCAGGATACTTTATACAATTATTTCTACTTAGTTTGATTACTATTTGGAAATCACAACTACATATGCATATTAACAATGGGATGAGAAAACCAGCATTGATCTTTTATAATACATTTCTATTTCATGAACTCCTGGGTCGGTACTCATGCTCAAACTCAGATTCTGTGGTCAAGCTCAATCTCTTGTTCAGGTGATAAATTGATCAAAATTCACATTTTTCCCCATACTTTGAAAGAAAGTTTGAGATATAAAGCCGATCATTCTTTTCAATGTGTAGACTTTACTTTTTGAACTTGTTACATGATATAAATAAGATATCAGGAAGTTGGTTTGAGTAGAATCCATACTAAAGCAGTAGAATGGTTTTACGAACACTGGCCCTGGTCACTAGTTTCATTTCTTCATTAAATGTTGTGCGTTTATCAAATAATAATAAATGTCAATTGTGTTCTTTCATATTTTTCTGAAAAACATTAATTTGATAATAAATGAACATCTAAAGACTAAGTTGTACAAAATACTTACACTTTCAAGATTGACTCTTTGATTAATAAATGATTACACACAGTAATTTTTTCATCTGTTTCCATGGTGATTCTGTTCCCATTCACATCTTCATCATACAACACCTTCAGCTGTCCCATTCCCAGGATCTACCAAACAACAAACACATGCCTTAGTCATTGTCTCAACAATCACACGTCACACTCCTGTCTCAACATAGTTACGTCACACTCCTGTCTCAACATACACACATCACACTCCTGTCTCAACATACACACCTCACACTCCTGTCTCAACATACACATAACAGACCTGTCTCAACATACACACATCACATTCGTGTCTCAACATACACACGTCATACTCCTGTCTCAACATGCACACGTCACACTCCTGTCTCAACATACACATAACAGACCTCTCTCAACATACACACATCACACTCATGTCTCAACATACACATCACACTCCTGTCTCAACAATGACACGTCACACTCCTGTCTCAACATAGTCACGTCACACTCCTGTCTCAACATACACACATCACACTCCTGTATCAACATACACACATCACACTCCTGTATCAACATACACACATCTGTCTCAACATACACACATCACACTCCTGTCTCAAAATACACACATCACACTCCTGTCTCAACAAATGCACGTCACACTCCTGTCACAACTTACACATAACAGACCTGTCTCAACATACACACATCACACTCCTGTCTCAACATAGTCACGTCACACTCCTGTCTCAACATACACACATCACATTCGTGTCTCAACATACACACGTCATACTCCTGTCTCAACATACACACATCACGCTCCTGTCTCAACATAGTCACGTCACACTCCTGTCTCAACATAAACACATCACACTCCTGTCTCAACAAACACACATCACACTCCTGTCTCAAGATACACACGTCACACTCCTGTCTCAACATACACACGTCATACTCCTGTCTCAACATACATACATCACACTCCTGTCTCAATATACACACATCACACTCCTGTCTCAACATACACTCATCACACTCCTGTCTCAACATACACATAACAGACCTGGCTCAACATACGCACATCACACTCATGTCTCAACATACACATCACTCCTGTCTCAACATACACACATCACACTCCTGTCCCAACATACACACATCACACTCCTGTCTCAACGTAAACACATCACACTCCTGTCTCAACATACACAAAACAAACCTGTCTCAACATACACACATCACACTCCTGTATCAACAAACCCATAACAGACCTGTCTCAACATACACACATCACACCCCTGTCTCAACATACACACATCACATTCGTGTCTCAACATACACACGTCATACTCCTGTCTCAACATACACCCATCACACTCCTGTCTCAACATACACACATCACTCTCCTGTCTCAACATACACACGTCACACTCCTGTCTCAACAAACACACATCACTCTCCTGTCTCAACATACACACATCACACTCCTGTCCCAACATACACACATCACTCTCCTGTCTCAACATACACACATCACACTCCTGTATCAACATACACATAACAGACCTGTCTCAACATACACATCACACTCCTGTGTGAGATTTTCTTATCTCACCCTTGGGTTGAGACAAGCTACACATGTTCTTTGCACGTTCTCAACAATTGTATGACGTCATAGCAACAATACCATGAACACTCCTGTCTCAACATACACACATCACACTCGTGTCTCAACATACACACATCACACTCCTGTCCCAACATACACACATCACTCTCCTGTCTCAACATACACACGTCACACTCCTTTCTCAACATACACACATCACCCTCCTGTCTCAACATACACATAACAGACCTGTCTCAACATACACACATCCCACTCCTGTCTCAACAAAAACACATCACACTCCTATCTCAACATACACACATCACACTCCTGTCTCACCATACACACATCACACTCCTGTCTCAACAAACACACATCACACTCCTGTCTCAACATACACCCATCACACTCCTGTCTCAACATACACACATCACTCTCCTGTCTCAACATACACACGTCACACTCCTGTCTCAACACCCACACATCACACTCCTGCCTCAACATACACACATCACACTCCTGTCTCACCATACACACATCACACTCCTGTCTCAACAAAAACACATCACACTCCTGTCTCAACATACACAAAACAAACCTGTCTCAACATACACACATCACACTCCTGCCTCAACATACACACATCACACTCCTGTCTCAACAAACACATAACAGACCTGTCTCAACATACACACATCACACTCCTGTCTCAACAAAAACACATCACACTCCTGTCTCAACATACATACATCACACTCCTGTCTCAACATACACACATCACACTCCTGTCTCAACATACACACAACAGACCTGTCTCAACATACACATCACACTCCTGTGTGAGATTTTCTTATCTCACCCTTGGGTTGAGACAAGCTACACATGTTCTTTGCACGTTCTCAACAATTGTATGACGTCATAGCAACAATACCATGACGGCACGGCAACAATACAATGACGTCACGTCGACAATTCAGTCGCATCACATCAACATGGTCTTGCATTGATTAACATCTATATAAAATACATAAGAGGGTAAACAGGGTAAGAGAAAAATAATAATTCACCCCCTTGGGAGTGAGACAGGGTGATCTCAACCCTCGGGGTAAGATTCTTAAGCTGTCAAACACTCAGCAAGCCTTGTATTTGACAACTTAAGAATCTTATCCCTCGGGTTGAGATTACCCTGTCTCACCCTCAAGGGGGTGAAAGATTCTATTAATCTCAAACCTCAAGGAAAGATTCTTAAGCAAACCTTGTATTTATCAACCTTAGAATCTTCCCCATCCAGTTGAGATTTCCCCATCTCACCGACAATAGGATGAAAGAATGTTAATCATTGTCTCAACAAACACATACACTGGTAATTGTCTCTTTCTCATCTCAACAAACTCATATCACATTTGATGTCTCAATAAACAATATTTACTTATTGCAAATTATTTTTTGTAACCTAGGCCTTTTTTGCACTTGTTGCCCGATGAACCTACCCCACTGTTTGCTATCCTATATTTACTAATAGTAGTATTTCACAAAATAAAATACAACATAATTGAGTAGACACACAGATAAACCAATCTTTTAGCTAGGGCTGCCATGAGATAAACAATATGACAATTTTAAGACCCTGCTAAGAAACCTGGCTACCAACACTCCAGGCTTCACACAATGACAAATGTTCTTAACCTAACAGCCTGCCAGGACTAGTCTAAAGTGTCACAACCCTAATAACTTATGCTAGAAGAGATGCTTGGCAGTACCTTCCATTTATCATTCTCCTTTGCATACATTGTTGCCCTTTTTTCAAATAAGATCATCTCTTCATCATCATCATCATCATCATCATCATCATCATCTTCATCATCATCGTCATCATCCTCTTCCTCATTCTCATTCTCCTCCTCCTCCTGTTCTTTGGTGGACTGTGTAGTGTCAGCTTCTCTGGACTCTACAGATGACACCTCTGACACCTGTATGGGTGTCTTGTCTGTCAACAACAATACTAGAATTGTGGTACGTTGTACCAGGTATGCATCTCATGTCCGATACATTTAGTAGTAAAATTATACATGTACCAACAAGATTTTACAAATTCACGCTCCCATCAAAGTCACACTTTTGGCAAGGAATACCAAACTATATATTAAAAGAAACAAGCAAGGTGTTAATGCAGAGCAATGATAACTTTCAGTTATGAAGTTGAGGGATGACACGGCTTGCTTTTTTATAGAGGAATGTGTGTGGTGCAGAATATAATGGTCTGTCATTGGTAACAGTGAACTTGATATACGATCTGGTGCAGCCACAAGAAAGGAGTGTGTGCTTCCAGTCATTGAGTGGAAATTAATTTTCAATTTATAGTAGCAGTAACCTTGACCTTTTATCCCAAAAAGAAGTAGATTCAGTTAGTAGTTATTCTGAAACAAAGATGAAAAGCACAGTGGGAAGAACAACATTACAATATCCGCTACAATCTTCATCAGGGAGTCTAGTTATACCAGGAGCAATGTGTTTACTGTATGTACCAAATATGGCCAGCCAGGTGAAACAATACCCATTTTAATGATAGGAGTCAGTTTCAAAATATCTCACACATTGACCTACTTTTAGCACACTATACTTTGCCATCCCATTATGTACCTGTGTACCGGGAAGATAGAATATGGATGGAGTGTGAAATTGTAGTTTCATCTTGTAGCACTAATGGCGGACTTACAGATTTAAATTTCATTATTGGACCAGCTCGAATGTTTTTACAGGAATTCTATTTGGCCGAAGATTTTCATGTACATTTACATTAGTGTTGTTGTTTTGCTGACAGATATAAACTCACCTTGAGTAAGATTCTCTCTCATCTCTGCCTGGCAGTTATCAATAATCAATTTAAACTTGTTGGCTATTTCTATGGTCTACAAAGGGAAAGAAAACAATTTGAAAAAAAGACAAGGTATTAATGTTTAGCTTTGTAAACAAGAGGCCCATGGGCCTTAACGGTCACCTGATATATTTATACAGAGAGTTGATTTTGTTTTTAACATGAACAGAAATATTATTCAAAGTGACAAAAAACAATAAAACCATCTTACTCAATATCTCGCATACAGATTTCAGACTAAAAAGGATTTGAAACTAGCACCTCTGATTCTTAACAAGGAAAATGAAGAAATTTTAGCACACTGACT